AATATAACATTTTGAAGCAATACTAAGTTTCAGAAAATAGAAAGTATGAAGTATGGAGTTGACATCTTAAAATTCAAAAAAAAAATGTAATATATCTTGTAAGTGGCTGGATTAACTCAAAACATATGCAATACATTTTCAACAACAGAAAATCAATATAATTCAAAACAACAAATATTAATAAAATCAAATAGAAAAACTCAGACAAACAAAAGGAAGATTTGCCAATTTATAAATGAAATTTATAAATGATATTGGCAATTTATAATTTATATATATATATATATATATATATATATATAAATAATGTTTAAGCTAGCCTTAAAAAAACTAAACAAACAAATTTACTACAAATAATTCACATATACACTAGGATCAAGACTTTGCATACATGAAGCGAAGCAAATATAAATGGCACAAAAGCAATTCTTTTTATACATTTGGATAAAACAGAAGCAAGATAAAATATATAGAATCAAAGTGACAAAATGAACAAACTTTTAATGTAAACAAGCATACTATAAGGAACCAAGGCCTCGTGGCCCAGTGGTAAAGGGGTTGATTTCCGCCACTTGGGTTCGAGTCCCCTTGGCCACCCGGGCTGCCTTAAATGGTAAGAATACGTGGACTGCGGTGAGCCTCGTGGGATTAGTCGTTGGGCCTAGAAAGCCTTTAGGATCCCCACGATTATCAAAAAAAAAAAAAAACTATAAGGATTAATTATTGCTTGATCGGAACAATAACATGTTACTTACTTACCATGTTCAAGCAAACCGGTACCCTTGAATATCTCTTCCATCAATCCATCGATTCTAGCTGCCATCTCCGGAGTCAGGTAATTCTTCCAATCTCCGACCTTTCCTTTCCTGAAATATGCACTATTCGCATAAAGACCAAAACGTCCTTTTTCTTTCTCCCCTTTGTTGTGTTCAAGACTCTTCAACGTCTCGAAACTACAAAGACTCACAACTTTCTCAAGAACCCCTTCCTTCTCTTCCTCGCTTGTAAATCCATAACCCATAAACTCAGCCAATCTTTTCACATCCGGGAAAGGATCAGCTCTCATCGTCTCATACTTGAGGAACAAAACCTGTTCTGGATTATCTTTGTAAGCTTTCCAATACGACAAGACATGATCTAGATAAGGACCATAGCCAGAAACACCTCGACAGAACATATCAAAAGACTCCTCAAGACTATTCAGAGGGCCATTGACAATCATCTGCTTTTGAATGAAAAACCACGTGGATATGAATGTGTCCTTTGGGTCTCTCCATATGTAAACCATCTTACAACCCGATCTGGAAATAGATTCGGGCAACAACCCATGCGGGAGATGAGTTGAGAAAAGAGTGTTCTCTTTGTCATTTAAAACATCCTTGTGAGACAAGAAAGCGAAATCTATCTCAATGAAAGGAACGAGTTCATGGGGGTTATGTTTTAGGAGAGGGTTTGTGGACTCGTCGAAGCGAGAACGATTGGCGATGGTGAAAGTGAGAGCTTTGAGCCAAGTGGTACCTGTCTTTGGGAGAGTACATATGAAGAAGTCAGTTGGTTGTGCTTGGAAGAACTCTTTTGCGTAGAGGGAACATTCAAGGAGAAGCTGTTTAAACCACTGGCCACCATACTTTATCAGGGAAGCTTTCGGTCGCCAGCCTTTCTCGGAAGGAAATGTTGCGATTAGGTCTTGGTAGCGTTTCCGATTCTTCTCGAACTCTGCTGACTTTGTATCGGTCTCTTCGTGGTTCGGTAAGGTTGTCTTGGTTACGGTTGATGATTCCATTGGAGATGGAGAAAGAAGATCTGAGGACTTGTGTGAGATGATGATGGTCTACGTTTACCCACATGCATAATATTTTATTTCTCAATTGATTAGCAATGTGGTAATCTGTGACATGCAGAAGCTTATTAATCTTTAATTTGGTTTTAAATGATTAAAATTATTTTGCCAGCTAAGAATCATCAACCTTGCTAGTGTGGTACATTTTAATTTTATAATTATAATCTGTTAAAAACAAAATTTTCGTTGTCAGCTACGAACCACTCCATTATCAGCTTAAGATTAAAGATAAAAAATTGCCAATTTCCATACGATACAAAAAAAAACTAAATAATACATATGGAATCAAAGTGATAAAATGAGCAAACTTTTGATGAAAACAAACATATAAAGATCAATCATTTTTCTGAACAAGAACATGTTACTTACCATCATGTTCAAGCAAACTGGTACCCTTGAATTTCTCTTCCATCAATCCATCGATTCTAGCTGCCATCTCTTGAGTCAGGTAGTTCTGCCAATCTCCGACCTTTCCCTTCCTGAAATACGCACTATTCGCATAAAAAGAAGGACTGTCTTCTCTAGTTTTCTCCCCTTTGTTTGGTTCAAGATTCTTCAACGTCTCGAAACTGCAAAGGTTCACAACTTTCTCAATAACCCCTTTCTTCTCTTCCTCAGTTGTGAATCCATAACCCATAAACTCAGCCAATCTTTTCACATACGGCAAAGGATCAACTCTCATCGTCTCATACTTGAGGAATAATATATTTTCAGGATTTTCTTGGTAAGCTTTCCAATACGACAAGACATGATCTAGAAAGGGACCATAGCCAGAACGACCACGACAAAACATATCAAAAGACTCCTCAAGACTATTGAGAGGACCATAGTCTGTCTTCTGCTTTTGATAGAAAGTCCACATGGAAATGAAAGTGTCCTTTGGGTCTCTCCAAATGTAAACCATCTTACAACCAGATTTCGAAATCGACTCAGGTAATAATCCATGCGCGAGATGAGTCGAAAAGAGAGTGTTCCCTTTGTTTTTTAGAACATCAGTATTAGGGAAGAAAGCAAAATCTATCTCAATGAAAGGAACAAGCTCATGAGGGTTATGTTTTAAGAGAAGGTTTGTGGAATGGTTAAAGCGAGATCGATTGGCGATGGTGAAAGTGAGAGCTTTGAGCCAAGTGGTACCTGTCTTTGGGAGGGTGCAGATGAAGAAGTCAGTGGGTCGTGCTTGGAAGAACTCTTGCGCGTATAGGGAACCTTCAAGGAGAAGCTGTACAGACCAGTGGCCACCGTACTCAATAAGGGGAGCTTTAGGTCGCCAGCCTTTCTCGTGAGGAAACGTGGCGATTAGGTCTTGGTAGCGTTTCTGATTCTTCTCGAACTCTGTTGACTCTGTCTTGGTCTTAGGATCGTCGCCGTTCAGTAGGCTCGTCTTGGTTATGGCTGATGATTCCATTAGAGATGGGCAAAGAAGATATGAGGATTTGTGTTGTGGGAGCTGGTGATGATCAATATGGGTTTAATAATGTAGCTATGAACCACTCTATTATATTATCTTTCGGCTCTATATAAAACTGAAATGTACACTCGGCTTCCACCTAATAACAAGGGTGTTTAGAAATTTGACATATAATCATTTTATTTGTTATATTAAAATAATTAAATTGATTCATACATTAATTTTTCATACTCCCTTCCTTTTACAAAGAGTGTCATTCTAAGTTGAAGAAGTCTCTACCAAGAAAACTCTGTTATATGGTAACTTGTGTCTTTCTTTGGGAAAGAGTTTCTTCACCGTCCTTCATAAAAAGTAAGCGAATTTTATTTGCATTGATCCTCTCTATGAAAGGTGAATTATTCTCGGTTTCAATACTGAAAATCTTCTCCTCCTATGGAGCGAGTATTGTTAAGCTTTGTATCAATAGCTTGGCTATAGTCGTGCAAGCAGTTTTTAATCATATTATAGTTTTGGGTCTAAAGAAAGCTGATGTCAAGTCTACCTCTTTTGGTGGTGGTTTGTTCTTAGCTTCAGGCTATGAATTTGGTATCTGAATCTTGTGTTCAGGAAATTCTGCCTCCCTATCTATATCAAAGGAAGAATCAAGGGGTGTTTGCAAAAGTATACCCCAATTTGTGGTCAATGTTTTTGGTATACCCCTCTAATATTTACATCTTTTTCTCTCTATATCATCCTTACCCTCTCATCATATCTACCAAAATGCCATCAGTTTTTCTATTTTTCATTTTTTTAAGAAAATAATAATGTTCAAACCAACCTCATCTCCTACACTTATTCACGAAAATGCCATCAAATTCAATTCACCCAACAACCATTTTCAACCATATTCAAGCTTTTTAAAGCTTCTTCTTCCCTTTTACACCACCAAAATCACACAATATTCTCTTCTAACCTTCTTCTCTTACTTATTCTCTCCAATTTCATCACAAAAACTCTATAATCCATCTCTCAAAAATATAAGTTCTTGTATGATGCCATTTGTGGTCACCAAGCTCACGGCAACAGCTGGGCTTCTCTGCTGAAGGTTTAAATCGAACCAATCCGCCGTCGACGCAACCAAACAGCTCATCAAGGTGATTTTCCGTTCGTTTTTCGTGAATTTCAGATCTCCTGCGCGATGTAGACTTCACTAAGAAGTCAACATGTCAACGTGGGGTACACTAACTGCAAACAACTTTTTAAAATTTTGGAGAAGTAGACTTCTTGGAGAAGTCTACATTAATCCTTTGACAACAAAAAAAGGTGGACCCCATGTGTAGACTTCACAAAGAAGTCTATTCTTCGGGAGGGGTATACTTTTGCAATTGACCAGACGACGACTTTCGGTTCTGAAGTCTACACATGAAGTCTACGCGACAGGGGTATACTTTTGCAATTGACCAAATCACGACTTTTTGATGTAGACTTCTTTTTTAGACTGTAGACTTCCCCGCGAAGTCTACTTTAGACGAGTAGACTTCATGGAGAAGTCTACTTCTGCAAAAAGAAGTCAACTGGTCAACGAATGAATAGTAACTCGGGGTACACCAACTGCAAACGTTGTTTTACGAAGTCTACTTTTGGTAGTAGACTTCAATATGACGTCTACTTTTCGTAGTTGACTTCTTATTGAAGTCTACTTGTCATTGTTGACTTCAGCCTGATGTCTACTTTTATAAAAGAAGTCTACTTCAAAAAGTCGTGATTTGGTCAATTGCAAAAGTATACCCCTCGAATTGTTGACTTCCTTTGTAGACTTCACAAAATATTCTTGCAGTTGGTGTACCCCTAAAGTTGACTTCCTGGTGAAGTCTACAAGTAGATTTCTACATGACGTCTACTTTGTTATTATATTGTAAATTAGGTGTTTGTGCAATATGAATAACTAATTTATAAGATTTTTTTCGACAATAAGTTGTTTTTATCTGTCTATTAGCTGTGTAACAATTTGGCTTGCTTAATCAGTATATTTTGAAGGGAATCAAATTTTTAGTTTTTGGTGGAGTTTAGGTGAAATGTAGTAGACTTCACGGCGAAGTTTACTTTGTAAGTGTATTTTAAATTCGATATTTGTGCGTTATGATTAACTAATTTTAAAAAATTCTTTGACAATAAGTTGTGTTAATCTGCTTACTTGCTTGTGTATCATTTTGACGTGGTTAATCATTATATTTTGAAGAGAATCAAATTTCTTGTCTTTCTTGGACACTAGGTGATAATTAGTAGACTTCTTATTATTGAAGTTTGCTTACTCATTTTGACTACTAATGTGTTGTGTCTTAATCTTTTTATGCAGAAAATGGTGTGCTATTGTTTATGGAAAATGGGCGAGGATCGTGAATGTTTGAAATTGATTATGATGAGGGAGAATGTGTTCTCCTTGTTTTGATTATTAATGTGTTATACCTTCTCCTTCTTAAGATGGATTATGTCATCTCCTTATTAAGATTAATTATGTCATGTACATTAGTAAGCTTGTTCAAATGGACACAAAATAATAATAAGTGGGACAAGAAAGAAGAGTTTTTAGAGTTATCATATACCCATTATCAAATGCTATGTTTCACATAACTTGTAGATTTGTCTGTCAAATGCACAAACATAGTCTTCTTAATCGCACAAAAATAGCCTTCACTTCTGAGATTTTGTCATCTCTAGCCCTATTAGGATTTCATGACTAAGTAGTTCTTTGGATTGATTGTAGATGAACTTTTCTTTTGTATACAACTCAAATGTGGAGGGTACAAATTGCTATATCTGCTTACAAACTAAAGAGGGTACAACCAATACAACTATACATCAACCATAGTACAAATGCAAATTTTTAAGCTTGTTTGCTACAACTAAGCGTGACTTGGCTCGATCAAGTGATTTCTCTGTGTTAGAAGCCATGCCACAGTTGGCAGGAACCGAGCCTGCAACTACTATCACCTACTCTTGATTTTCAAGCCAAATCGTAGATAACCTGAGCGACATTATGACAAAAGAGTAAGACTCATAACAGTAAGAACACACACAAAACATGATTAAGACAATTTATTCAAAGCTTAAATCATTATATATTGTACAAGAACCAAGGATATATTATACATGATCATACATATTTCAATCATCTATTAGCAAGAGATCTGAATCCTCATAAAACCAAACCTCAACCACAGTGAAGCAGACTGTTCCACAAACCAAACCTAGTTTTAAAGGTTTTACGCTCTTGAAACGAACCCAAATAAAATACACATTTCAATATAAATTCGATTGGTTACTTTTATTGTGATTTTTGGCCACAAAATCAAACTTTTCTCCATAATTCAATTACAAAATGCATCTCATAAGGTCTCATTTATGGCCTAAGCGATAAAGATAAAGCTAGAGAAACTAATCAAGTTTGCTACTGAGATATTGGCAGAATCTAACATAATTTCCATTACAAAACCAAAACTAATCAAGCAGCAAAACATGAACACAACAGCATAATCTCAATCTCAATCTCAATTCAAATAATAACAAACATGAAGCACTAAGAAACTTGGTAAATCAAACAACAAAACAAACCATAGAAACTCAAGCATCAAAACCTTATAGAGAAAAACACTTAAAAAAAAAGTCCATAATCAATCAAAACGCTTATTCGAAGTAGTCTTGATACACGAAAAAGTATACAAACAAAACAGTTTCTCAGTTAAGCTTACCATCTCTGCTATTCGAAGTAGTCTTGGGATTGATTTTTGGTTTTTCCAGAATCAACAAGCATCCAAAAACATGAAGCATTCTTATTCTTGGTGTGGCCTGCCAAACGAAAAAAAAATGAAATAAAACATGAGAATACACATAATAAGGTTTCATTTCACAAAGACAAAATCAACGAAAACATACCATATGCAAACCGAACAAGCACATCACTTAGCTTTAAACACTAAGCACATCACTGGAATCAAATTGGCGATTGGAACAAAACAAGTAAAAACCATTCCAATTCAAGTACGATAATCGCTTTGATACAATAGATAATTCTTGGAAACCACCAACATATTTACAAGCATAAGAAATGAACAAGAAAAAAAATAGAGTAGAAGCGCTGACCTCCATCTGTGATTTTTCAGCTAACGTAGTAGAAGATGAAAAAGAAAAGGAACAAACAGAGTTAGTGAGTGAAATTCAATAAATTTGTATCTTTTGTTTCTCTATCTTAGAATATGCAGAAACCAGAGCATACCTCTCTATATCTCGTCAGGTAGACCTAAAGTGGACACTGCCCAAAGCAAATTATCTCCACTGATGATCTTCCGTTTCTCTCTTTGGCACTTATCACTCGCTCTGCTCATCAAAATCACACACACAAAAAATGCATCAACAAACATGTCTTTGTAAAACTAGATCTTAAACACAAACAAAATCTAAGCAATCTGCAACATGGAAACCAAACAAAGAAGTAGAAAAGCAACCAATTTAATAAGAAAAACGATCTTAACTTTCAATCAGCCCACCAAATCTTATCTTTGTCTACTCATCTACTTCATCAAACTCGTGCCTGCGATTTTCCATGGAAAATACCAGAGAGTATATTTATCTTTAGTATATACGATAGGGTTGATGATAATAAACAGAGAAGAAAACTCGTACCCACGGTGAAAGATGGAGCTCCGAGAACAGACGAGAGAGATTATGTTGCTCCACAGCCTGTATTACCTCGATCTACTCTCTCCTTCTCCACGGGTTCATTTCGCATGGGAATTCCAACATGAACACACAAGCAAGAGAAAACGGCGGAGATTCTCGCCTGAAATTCAGAAAGGTGGAGAGAACACGCCGCCTTAGCTTCAGAGGAGAAGGTCTCTGTTCATGCAATAGAAAACGGCGGAGACTCATCGGAAAATTTGTTGCAGCTCAGATCTAGATTTGTGGAGAGAGAGAGGGTCGCGTGTTTTAGAGAGAGAGAAGGTTGCAAAATTATGGGAAAA